GAGACTTGTTAAGGATGACACCTTCATATTTGACCTGGAACCACTTCATGGCATCCTCCTTTGTAACTCGATGTTGGATTCCAACACGAGACTTGCACCTGCGACGACGACCAACACGGTATCCAGCACGTTCAAGGACAACATAGAAGTCCATACCATAGATACCAGTTGAAGGGTCATACCTAGAAAGAGAACAATAGTTGTAACTTATACCTTCATGGAATATATAGCGTCAATATTGAATACAAGTAGCAACAGAATGAATTCATCAATGAGAAAAAAGGACAGATGTCCACAAGTTACCTGTCACGCCAACCAGTATTCAAATAATTCTAACACTGAGCTGGAGTTAGCTAGTTTTCAAGCCACAATACAGCAAACCTTAAAAAACTTCTATTTAAGTTCCAAAAACAATAAAAGATCCAAAACTATGGAGGAAAATTCCAAACTTGTCCAATTATCCTTCAAATTTAATCATAAAGTTTCAAACTCAAATTTCCAAAACGCATTAGAAACGCCAATTGGAACACAAAATTTGATAAAGAGACACAATAAGAACATACTTGATACCGAGATCAATGTGCTCCTGGATACCGAATCCAAAGCATCCAGTATCACTGAAGTTTCTCCTCAAAAGTTCATACTCCTTAACCTTCAAACCGCTCTCAAGAAGCTGCATAGCCTTCTCTCCCCTAACAGTAACATAGCACGCAATCTTTTCATTACGCCTGATTCCAAAAGATCTAACAGTGTACCTAGCTGCTCACAACAAACCCACATTTTGACTTTCATTAACAACACAATCCAACCAGAAAAGGAAACTAAAAAGGATCATTTTGTAGAAAAAATTTACCCTTGGAAAAGACGGGGGTTTGACCACTGAGTTGTTCCAAGACCTAATAAGAGCAAGATGGATAAACTAATATTAATTAAAACATTCAAAAAGAAGAAAAATGGGTTCTTTTTTCGGGTCTGTGTTGATTACCTTGGCGGCACGGGTGAGACGATCTCCACTTTCACCGACGGAGATGTTGAGAACAAGTTTTTGAACTTTAATCTCCCTCATTGGGTTCGATAGCTTCTTTTCTGATGCCTTTCATAGTCATAAAAAGAATAACATTAGAAAAACTCAATCAGACATAAAGGAAGATGAGTGAATCAAACAATGAGAATGAGAGAAATAGAGGTACCATGGTGAAGCACACAAGTTTGAGAGCAGCGGCGGACAGACAAAGAAGACCCTTTCGTTAGAGATCGGAGTTTAAAAACACAGTTTAGGGCTAGGGTTTTATTTCTGTAACAATTCACTTTGTTTTTTGGGCTCAAAAGGTCATAAGAAGCCCAAAAATATGTTTAGTGCTGTTAAAAAAATTAGATCAAACTGTATAACAAAATATAACTTTATGTATCAATCTATGTCAAAATAAATTAGGAATTAAATTGAAAAGAAAAATGTATAGTTTAGGAGCCAAACCATGCATTAAGTCTAAAATTGAAAGAGGTAAATTTTTAATGGTGGGTGAGGATATTTTTTTTCCTCAAGCTCTGTGTTCGGCTTGACCTAGGGATTTAAATTACGATTATGGTCACATTTTCGATTGTGTTGTGTTTATTGTGATTGCGGAAATTACGGGTGTTATTGCGGTCATTGTGGGTATCGCAGTTGTAAAATAACAATTTCAGAAGGCATTTTCACCACTATATAACGACTACTATTTCAATAGCGTATCGTTATTTAAATTCCTGGCTTGTCCCGTGTAAATTTTCACCTACATTAATCGATACAAACATGGTTCTTATTCCCAAAAAGAAAAAGCCAAATTGTATGTTGGATCTCAGGTCAATTGCTCTTTGCAGTGTATAAGATTAATGGCAAAGGTCTTGGCTAAGCCACTGAAGAACATTCTGCCTAGCGTTTTATCTTCAATGCCACCAGTTTTTGTTCCAAGATGACTCATCTCTCATAATATCTTGATTGTCTTCCATCGCATTCATCATATAAAGAACAAAAGTAGAGGAAATATGGCGTACTAGAAACGAACAAAAATAATATTATTCTTAACGTGCAACGAGTAAAGGAGTGGTTTATGATGATTTAAATAGTAGGGGGGAAAAGTGATTAAACAATTAATTTATGATTTTATGTTTTTTTTGTTTTGGGTGAAGAGTTATTGATCAATTACGATTTAGAGTTCATCTGAAATAAGATCTCTCTATCTTTCCTTTGGTATCCCCTGACATCCCAGATGATATATATATATATATATATATATATATATATATATATATATATATATATATATATATATATATATATATATATATATATATAGTAACCGTCCTTTAAGTGGACTCGAAATTGGGTAGACTCAAATTTGAGCTTCGACTTAAATAAATGTATTAAAGTCGTCACCGAATATTTTTTTTAAAAAAAAGGTTGACTGAACACCTTAATTTATCATCTTACCTGATCTGCGTTTTTCCATAAATATATCGGATTTGAGAGTCGATTACAGTCAATGAAGGATTAGCACCCTTGTACTGCCCTTTCGATACTAATTTAATTTCTCGGTTATCTTAATTGAGAAAATTAAAAGTTAAATTGAAATTTAAAAATTTGATCCGAATTACTTACCTTTGATCGATTAAAATTACCCCTAAAAAGTAAAAAATATTAGATTAAAAAATAAATATTAAATAAATCAAAGAAGAGAAAAAGGTTAAAAAACAATGTTGAAAGAGAAAAAGAAAAAGAAAATAAAAACAAAACAAAATAAAATAAAATAAAATGAAGAAAATAATGAATTTTAAAAGAAATAAATAATAAAAAATATTAAAGGAAAAAGCACGTTAAAAAGGAAATTTAAAAATGAAGAACATGTCAAAGTCAAAAGAGAATAAATAAATAAAAATTTAAAAGATCAAAATTGGGGGTTCAATTGCAAAATGTGAGAAATATAATCAAGGATTGAATCAAAATAATTCAAAACTCAAGGGTCAATTTATAACAGATAACTAAAATGAATTACACATCAAAGTATCATAGACTACGGAAATAATTTAACTATTTCATATTTACAAAGTAACTCTCCCTTATAAAATGCTCCAAAATTAACAAAACTCCCTCATTTCTCACCCCTTCCCTTAAACCAAACCCCCAAAACTCTCACAACTCTCTTCCACTCAACCGAATGGCCGGCCACCGCTCTAGCAACCACTTGCGGTGGTCGAAAAAAAAAACAAATACACCAAAACGCTCTCCCCGGTTCGATAGTCACGAAATCAAAGTCTATTCGCCCTTAAAAGGACCATATGAGCGTAGATCTAAGTTGGAAGTCTCAAAGTTTACCTTTACCGATGATAACCTTTCGACTACCGGTGACCATCTTTACCCCGAGCCACGACCGAAGCTTCTCCTGCGTTCTTTTTGTGATTTTTCTTACGGTTTTGCGAGTGATTTTTGTGTTTGTCTTCTGTCGAATACTATTCTTTTTTTGTGGCCTTTGTTTGATTTTGTGCCTCGATGGGTTTTTTCTTGTTGTGGTTGCCTCACTTTTTTTCGTGTTTCGTTCGACTTTGTAGGGGCTTATAAAACCATTTGCCGGAGAGATTTCTAGGGTTGTTTCTCTTAGTTTCGGGAGTCGTTTACCACTATTTCTTGATTTACTCGGGGTTGAGGGTTGCTGATGGCCGACTAAATGGGATGGATAAGTCCTAATTTAGTCGAGATTCTTTTGCATGGTCGATTTTTCGGCTTTCCTTCGATGTTGGTTGTTTCGTGGCCGGAAATCTCGGTCGGTCTTGGCGGCGCTCCTTGGTTGTTGACTTCCCTTGGCTAAACTGTTGGACTCCTTGTTGGGTCAGACTACCTTGTTGGGCTCCTTGCTGGGTCAGGCTACCTTGTTGGGCTCCTTGCTAGACTGTTGGACTTGGACCCTGCCTTTAATTTGGACCTGAAATATTTAAATAAAATATATAATAATAAATAATAATAATAATAAATAATATATAATATAATAATAATAATATGATATAATATAATAATAAAAACTATATTTTCAAAAATATGTTTTCAATTTTTTTTAAATATATATTATACGTTTTCAAAACAGTTTTTTAGAAAACCATATTATATATGTTTTCTAAATCATTTTTTAAAAAACTATATATTATAGTTTTCAAAATCATTTAAAAAACCATATTATATATGTTTTCAAAACCGTTTTAAAAATTATATATTATACGTTTTCAAAACTATTTTAAAAAACTATATATTATACGCTTTCAAAACCATTTCAAAAAACTATATTATATATGTTTTAAAAAATACCTTTTCAGAAACTATATATTATTATATATTCCCAAAAACAATATTTACATATTATGCTATGAATATAATAAAGACCCCGGACGAAAATAGGTGTCTACAATATATATTATCTATTTGATAGCCATGTGGTTGCCCTACAATTGGGGTGGATATAGAGATGTGAAGATTAGGCTTAAATCCTTTTAGATTTGATATATTTATTCCACGACTCAAAATGCAGATTCATTAAATCATTCAGATCATGAGTGACTTTGAGGTTGAATCCCTTCAAAGTGATGGAGAGTATAACATTTATCGTCTCTTTAATCATGAGATGGTTATATAATAATACAATTCATAATGTGGTACAATCCATCTAAAGGTTTTTACTTACGAGATTAGTCCATCGATCCAGGAACGAGTAAACCTCTCTAAACTTTAGGCCTTTTACTTCCTTGCTAGACTACTCTATAAAGTAATGGGAAGATGAAAACTTGTCTCATTTCATCTTAAGGTTTTTTATTTCCCTTCGATCAATGAATTGACTAAGGCTATATACCACATTCAGAAAAGCTATAAAAGCAAGTTTAATTCACCATGAAAACAAGATTACATTTATCATTTAATTTTATCTAATATTATATTACAATCAAATCATAAACTGGTAACGAATTTTAATGCTTCATACATTCCTAACTATATAGTCTACACAACAAAGGACTACTCTCCACATCTTGAGTCAGAATGCTAGGAACCCTTAATATGACTCTGGACCTTACAATTCCCCAGTGACAATAGGACCAAAAAGAATAATGTATAAATATGAGCTCTCGAGTGCAACAGTCGGTTATAGACGGAAGGGAACGGGAAAAATTGTGCTTCGATCACCGAGGTCCGGAAAGCTCCATTGCTTCAATGATGAAGGAAGACTCTTCATGAATGTCACTATAATTCCTGGAGAAGCTCCCCTCCCTAGTCTCGGAAATGTTTGTTCCACCTTGTGATTCCTCGGTTCCCGACTGCACAAGACCTTCAAGGACCTTCAAAACTTCCGACATCTTTGGACGAAGGTGGGGCTGTGACTGAGTACAGTGAAGAGCCAGTTCGGTTGTTTTTTCCAACTCCATCGGATCGAAACATCCCCTCAAATCCCTATCCACTAGCACTTCAAGTCTCTTCTCCTCATGCAATGTTCTAACCTGCATCAATCATAAGATATCTTCAAAATTAAATATCGACAAATAGATGAAGAAAAAAAATATCATCACAACCCAAAAGGCTTAAGTTTCTTCCGGCTGTTGTTATAACACAGACAACATCCATTTTGTTAACGATCACACAAATTACTTTAAAACCTGAAGTATGATTTACAAAGTTTTTTTGCAGGTGTACGGAATCTATCGCTTTCTCTAAGAAAAGAATGCACTTGAACAGGCAGCGATAAAGATGCATACTTCGACAGCTTTGATATTTACTTACCCAGTCAAGAATCATTCCCTTTTGAATCTGTCCATTCCCAGCATCTAATGTCTTTTGCCCTGTGACCAGTTCCAAGAGTAGTATGCCAAATCCAAATACATCTGTTTTTTCGGAAGACTGTCCAGTTGAAAGATACTCTGGGGCAATGTGTCCTACAGTACCCCGCACAGCAGTAGTGACGTGTGATTCCCTTTTATCTAAGAGCTTAGCAAGACCAAAATCCCCTACCACAGCTTCGAAACTTTCGTCGAGCAAAATATTTGCAGCTTTCACATCCCTGTGAATAATTTTCGGATTACACTGCTCATGTAAATATAGAAGTCCACGGGCGGCTCCAAGGGCAACATGCATTCGTCTATTCCAATCTAGAGAAGGCTTTTCACGACAAGCATCTGCTAAAAATAAATCAAGTTATAAGGTGATAGCAGAAAGACTAGTTGCAGCGGATGTAAGCTCAAATTTGAGTCGCATGGCCTAGAAAATGGAAATGCAAGCATGAGACCACACATTAACCTATGGTCCATGAGGACAGCTAGCTTAAAAGATCAGCAAAAGAAAAAACCTCTTAAGCGATCAGCAACGCTCCCATTTAGCATATAAGGATAAACAAGCAACCTCTCATCGGGTGTCATGCAAAAGCCATATAAACGCAAGAGGTTACGGTGAAGTGCCAAACCAATCATCTCTACTTCAGTTTGGAATTGAACTTCTCCGGTAAAATTTGGATCTCTTAGCCTTTTAACTGCAATGAAGGACTTATTTGGAAGGCATCCTTTATAAACAACTCCATAACCTCCTTGTCCCAGAATGTTTTTGGGATTAAAATTTCCCGTAGCAAGTTGCAATTCCCGAAATGAGAACCTCTTGACATGACCAATTTCAAAATCATAATCATGCTGCACTGAAATTCAAAGGAAAAAAAAATCAAAATTTAATGATCACACCAATTCAGTGTTAAAAAATAGCATACACTGATTCGGCAGTACCATATGATGTTACCAAAATTCGAGATCGGTGCCAATGCACCCAACCAACAAGCAGAACCAAAGAAACCACAAACATGGAACTGATTGCTATGGCAACAGACAAACCCCAACGATGGTATCCACTGGCTCTAGAAGATGAAACTGAGCCTGCCATTAGATGATTGAACATGTTATATTGGTACTACCAATGAGGAGAATCATGGCAAAATGAAATCACTTCAATAGATTCATCAACATACCATTTAATGGTTTTAAAACGCCTGTGCAAATTTGTTCATAAGAAAAAGTGCAAAGAAAGTCATTCCCTGAAATACTACACAATGAAAAAAGTACACGGAGCTTGATGTGAACAAAAATGATTTATCTGAAAGATAATCTTAAATAGGAAAAGAGAGTATTTGAGCTTAGGCTTACTGATATGGAATAAAATTGCTTCTTTCTGCAAAGAAGCTTACCTGTAACCTTTTGCTAGGATTTTCGGTGTAGGACCGCTGAGGTTATTAAAGGATACATCCCTACAACAATATCATAGAAGTTAATAATATCATCGCTTCACAGCAGTCTGAACTATAAATCCAGTGACATGATGGAATACATACAAGAATGAAAGACCAGTGAGATTCGCAATGGTTCCAGGAATAGGTCCGGTTAAATTGTTGTTGCTAAGCCGCCTGAAAAGAGTGATGGCAAAGATTTTAGAATGCATAAATTAAGGAAACACACATACACATAATACAATAGGCATAAGAATGCACCGACATAAATTTCAAATCAACTCACAAGTAAGTTAGATGAGTTAAAGAGCCCAAAGATCTTGGAATTACTCCGACAAACTGGTTACCAGAAAGATCAAGTGTTTGAAGCTCCGGGAGCTTCCCTATCTCATCAGGAATGGGACCTGACAACTTGTTGTTTTGCAACAGCCTATAAAATATAGAAACAGAAGCATATAAATGAATGGGAAAAAGATTCATAAGAATTTACATGTTCTTGGAACAATGACAAAGAATGATTATTCGATACAACGACTTCCTCTCAATATCACAACAAGATGGAGATAAATAAGAATTCAAGAGAATAAAAAAAAAACGAGGTTCTTAGACACTATTTACTAACTAAACATTAATTTCCCACAAAATACTGACTGCTATAAAACAACCAATTGGATTTCATTTCAGTACTGAAAGAAATTAGCAGTGGAATTAACATAAAAAGTGTCAGAGAAGACAGTGGACCTCACATTGTTCTTAGGTGACTCAAATTCCCAATGCTCGGTGAAAACATTCCTGATAGCCCTTTACTGGCCATTTCCCTATCAACAACAATATTCTCTTGTTTTCTTCTTCACTCTTTTATAAATATATATGTATTAAAAATAATTAAATAAGAAGCTACACTGAAGAAAACAAGCACAATCCTTACAGTGAGATAACGTAACCCTCGGCAGAACAAGCAACCATATTCCAAGTACAAGGATCAACCGAGTTAATATCCCAGCCGTCCATAACGTGCCTATCATCTTTCATTTCTCTTTTGACCAACATTAAAGCAGTCACTGAAATTTCAAGAACACCCAAAACAAAATTTAGACAGTCTTAATCAATGGGGTATGGCTCTGTATGATAAGAAACCCAAACCCGAACCCGAACCCACCTTCATAGTTAACTCCTTTTGGGGAGAGGAGACTGTCACCAGCTGGTAGAGAATGGACCCAACGAAAAAGCAACAAAACAATCCACATTACGTGCAGCGCCATTGAAAGTTAAACAAAAGCAACGACAAAAGAGAGAGGGAGCCAAAGCCCGGTCTTTAAAAAAGGAAGCTTTTTAAGTATTTTTCCTATTGTTTTGCAGTAGGTTTTGACTTAAGAAAGTAAGGCCAAAATCTTCTGACAAAGGGAAAGACTGGGTTTTGCAGTTGAATTCTAATCTTTTTTTTCTTTCTTTGGATTCTCCTTTTGCTTTTGGGTATTGGATAAATAAAGATTGAATTTTTAATCGTAAAGTGCAGGAGAATGGCTTTTGAAATGGGGTAAGCCCTCGAGATATGTGCACATTGACAGAGATTGTCGCTTTGTGTTGACTTGACTGTATTCTCGTGTTTCAATTTGTCTGAATTTAGGCCGTTCAGATTATCGGATATTAACGGTTGATAATTAACTTGTAGAACACTGGCGCCAGATTTCATGTTGCCGGGAATTTTTTATTTCTTTCCCACAACACGAAACGGCATCGTTTCACTCATATTTTCTCTAATAGTTACTTTGTCTATTTAGGAGTGAACCATTACCCTAATTATGAATTTCATGCATCACAAATTGGAAAACTACTCTCATAAAATTTTGGATTTTTGGTCCTGCTGATTTTTAAATAAAATAGCTTAAAATATTGATTTTTGTTAATTTATGGTGTAATAATATTTAAATTAAACTATTTATTTGTTATATAATTTATTGAATGGTTAGTTTTTATGTTATTGATCTAATTATCTTATCAGATTAGATTTATTTCTCAAATTATATAAAATTAAAGTATCTATTCCCAAAATATTTTTCTCCTATTTTTGAACTTTTTATTTTATAATGGTTAATCTATACAATTTACTTATTTTAGACGAAATGACCCATTGATATAATTTAACCTATTCTAATTTTATTATCTCTCTTTTTTATTGAATAAAATTAACTATTATTATTAATATAAAGAAAAGCAAATTCTCTAACAAATTAAAATACATTCATCACTTGAATTCTTTGTTTATATCAGAATCATCACTTACTGTATTGGATTGTTTAATTAGAAAGATGGAAAGATGGGGATGTGTTTGTTTTAAGGAGAGAAAAGAAGACGTAATTATTAACACATGGGATGGGGAACTAAGAGCGTCTTCTCTACACAAGAACTATCATTATTTGACAACCCTCTCTCTCTTGTGGGGACTGCAATTATATTCCATCAATGGCTAAGCCAATATTATTTGCCTGAGCTTCACAAACTTCAATTTATAAGATCAAATTAAACATGAAAGAGTAATAACATTACTTGGCACAAACACTATGAATTATCGTCTGCGATTTAGAGTCAGTCACCCAGACCCGAAAACCAACTTTACCCACACTCCAGCCACATCTCAGGGAGCTTTCTTCCTACCAACAAAGACACTTCTCAACTTTTTCTTCACTACTAGCTTTCTGGTATCGTCCACCTTAAAAAGTTTCATCTTTTACTATCAAACATGTTACATGTACATGACCAACAAAGGGTATTTTGACAAAATGTGAACTCAGATTAAGCAAGAGGGGAATAATTTAAGTAGAAAGATGAAGGGAGAGAGACGGAAACCAGACGCCCAGAGACTGTACGAGTCTTGGAAGGGTAAAAAACAATGTTGGACAGGCCTCGGTCAATGGTGGATTTTCAAGATTTTGCTTCGTCTTTGTCATGCATCAACCAGGAGATATATCAAGTCTTACAGTACTTTTGAGGTTTTATGTCCCAGCCGGATGCATGAAATGTTGTAACCCCGTTTGCCGTTTCACATGTTCTGGAATCAACTTATTAACAAGCTCCGACGAGGCCCCAGATAACTGTAACCAAAAGAACGCAAATGACTATGGCTTGCAATGAACCAACTTGAATGATAAACAAATTCTAGCTACAAAATAATAGCATATAAAACATTTAATGAAATTCAAAAAACATACTTCCTGTTTAAAGTTGAAAAGTGGTGGCAAGGGTCGCCCATTTGGTAGGCGAGCATTAGATTCTCGAAGCTCGTCAAAGAAGGGATGTGCACATGCTTCGAGCTGTCACATTAAAGTGCAGATAAGGATAACATGAGATGGGATCATCACTAAAACATAAATATTAGAAGAGCTAAAGCAATAATTGAAGGATTGCGCATAGTTTATAAGTCTAAAATGGAAAAAGTACAACGAAAAGAGGGATAAACCATTAACTCACCGCTGTACAGCGAAGACTTGGTGAGTATTGCAGCAGTCGTGAAGCAAGATCAATTGCTTCGGGAGGCATCCTTTTGTGAAAAACCTAGATACATAAGAGTCACGTTAAAGCAATCAACTACATTTATAACAATAAGCAACACATTACTCAGAATCAATTAAAATATTTCTGCCCTTAGAAACCTTGGTGGAGAAACACCAAAATCTTTTATACTTACTCAGAATATATCGTTCGCCAATCATTTCAATGACAAACTTATAAAAGGACAATAAGAGGCAAACCTTATGCCATGGATGTGCTTTAATCTGTGGAAACCTAAAGTCCGTGTAATTGGGATTCATGCAACGAATATCTTCCCTAGTGGGCGTACCAAGGACCTGTTGGAAAAGATATCAGAAACAGATTCATGATATAATGAAACAAATAACGTCAACCATCACTAGGAAAATCATACCTTGATAATCTCTACAAGCTGATCCACAGCATTCTCTCCGGGAAACAATGGCTGAACAATTAAAAATGGCATGAATGAGCAGAGAAAATTAACTACTGCTATAAAATTAGATATAGATAAAATATATATAAATAAAAAACAAAGCAAACACTGACTTGGCCCAGCAAAAGCTCGGCAAGGACACAACCAGCCGACCAGATATCAATTGAGGTTGTGTATTCAGAGGCACCAAAGATAAGTTCTGGGGCCCGATAGAAACGTGAACATATGTACGAAATGTTAGATTCACCTTTGACCTGATCATAAGTAAAAGTAAGTACAAAGCATTTACAGAAACAAAGAAACAAGAAAATGGATCAAAAAAGTGTTATATTGGTCTTAGATCTAATCCAATCCTTTTTTCCTACTCTCAGCCCCTCATCCTACAAAGAAGCCATGAAAAACAGCTAAATAAAAGTGGTGACACTAACTAGTTAAAGAACCAAGCTAGATAAGATTGAAGGCCATTTAAAATTCCAAATTTTTATATATTTATGATGAATAAGAGGGGCCGAGCCCGAGGTTAAACAAGTTTTAGCAGATTAGCAGTTGCCATGTTATCACACATTCAAAATGCTAAAGAGCTGCACATTAGAGAAAAAGCAGACGGTAACAGTGAAGTAAACCATTTTAGATGTCACAACCAGAACTAAACAATCAAATGACAATGACATTGTTTAACTCGAGGCAACACTATTTGTCAACTTACAAGCACTTTTGCACTTCCAAAATCACAAATCTTAACCTGGTGAATCAAAGGATCAACCTGCAGAAAGCCAACAATCACATAAGAAGCAATGTCAAGAAATTCTACAAACTATAACACTAAGAAAAGCATACCAAAAGATTTTGAGGCTTCAAATCTCTATGGCAAACTCCAACAACACAATGGAGGTATGCAAGCCCCCTGAATATCTGTAAAACGACCTCTAATTAGCATAAAGAAGAAAAGTACACAAGAAATCAAACAGGGAAAAGACTACCATGCATGCACACCTGGTACATGTAAAGTTTCACATAGATAAGCGGCATTCTTTGATTTGAACTGCTGTAATGTTTCAAGACTCTATACATGCTCTCCGGAACATATTCCATAACCAAATTAAGGAAAAGCTCATCTTTCGTTGTCGTGGAAAAGAAGCAATGCTTCAAGGAAATCACATTAGGATGATCCAGCACACGCATCAACTGCAGTTCACGGTTCTTATATCTTCTGTCTTGCAAAACCTTCTTTATAGCCACGGTTTCCCCTGTTTCCAAGCATTTTGCCTAGGAAAAAAAAAGGATGTATCAGCATGTGAAATGAAAAGTGAACATCGTGTACAGTTTGACCATATCTCAGTACCTGGAAAACTATCCCAAAGGATCCTGTACCCACAATACGCTCTGCCATATAACTGATGGTCTACAATAATCAAACGAAAAATGAAATTGCAAAGAAAACAAACTGGTGACCATTCCTAGCTTACATACTAACAGTATAGTAATTGATAGATAAAGAAGAATTTGAACATATAAATAATCCAGGTATCCCAAGAAAAACACATACCTGTTTAGGTTCTCCATTTTTGCCTCCAATAGTTGTTGAAATGATGTGACCGGTGACTGGATCGTTCCCATCCACAACAGAGGCAGACATTTCCTGATATATAAGAAACCCATTGCAACAAAATACAAAAAAAAAAAAAGAAAAAAGAGTGAGACTTTGAAGAAGTACAAAAAGTGGAGATCCTGACCAGTCCTTCACAGTTCACACTAAGAAAATTATATATAGAATACAAAAAAATAGAAATTATAATCAAAACCCTAAAATAAATTTGAAGTTACACGGTTCAGTCTGATCCGAAGAAAAATTCATCTAAGCTAAAAAAAACACAAACCAATCAATAAAAGTAAATAAAACGCAAAATTGCAAAAATGTAGAGATGATTTCACAAAAAACGAAACAAATACAGAGCAAAACCTAATCAACTAGGGCTCCCTGATTAGCTCAACCAACAAGATCGCCGCAGAAAATAATAATAAAAGAAACGAAAACAGCAAAATATCAACCAAAAAAATATTTCATAACCATAGGAAAACAGAAAAGGAAAAAACCCAAAAATCTCACAAATTCCTACCGACACTAAAATATAACAGTACGATAAACAAAAAAAAAGTTCTCCAAAACAAAATAAAACCCATACTCAACAAATTCTCAAACAGAATAAAAACAAAATCAAAGTTTCACTTCCCAATTCCCATATCAGAAAAAAATGCAAAAAACATCAAGTTTACCTGTTTGTCAGCCATGATGAGCAACCCAGAATTTTTAGAAGGAAGAAAAAAGGAAGAGAGAAAAAACCCAAAGATCTAATTGCGGAAAGAGTAAGGATAGATTACTTCGCGGTCATTGAAGAAAAGAAATGAAGAAGAAAGAGGAGAAGATGCTGCTGATGATGTCGAAGCAGAAGATGAAGAAGAAATGGAAGTTAGAAAAGAGAATAGGAGGGAGGAGGACCCAGAGGAGAGACAGCAAACCAATGCCCATGTGATTCCTTTTCTCCCTCTCCTCTGGCCCCTCTTTTTCGTTTTTATTTTATTTTTTCTTTATCTTCTTCCTCTCTTTTTCCCAAAGTTCTTTCCTTTTTGTTGTAATATTTTTACTTTCCGTTCTCTTCGCTTCTGTTTTGGTTTCTACACTACCAAAACTACCCTTTTGATTCTTATCTAAACTGGATTTTGAATTTTTCTGCCATTTCTTTCCATATATTATTGAGTGATATTTTAATAATTGAATTAAAATTTATTTGAGAAATAATTATTCGAGTTATATTTTTATTTACATGTTTACAATTTTTTTGCTAAAATAAATATTTAAGATTTCATTACATTATTATTGTAAGATCGAATCATTAACGCCTAATATAAAATTTATCATTTAATAAAGGATGATGATGCCACATTCGATGAGTACGGATAAGCACAGTTAATGATGAATATTATTAAATAAATTTATAAAATATTAAATAAAAATATTAAGAAAAAAAATATTTAATCACATAGTGACACATGTCACCATCTGATTAAGGATTAAATTTATTGAATTAATTAAAAGTTAGGACCAAATTAATAGAATACGTAAGTAACGAGGATAAAATGTGTAATTGTGTAAATTTTATTAACTGTCACGTCATCTCCACCGTTAATATTTAACGACATATAGCTTGATGGACAATATTTAAAGAGTTAGGTGACCCGATTGACAAAATTGAAAAATCGGTTGTTAAAGTAAAAGGGATAAATAGTTAGGTGATCAATGATATATTTTATCCTAAAAACTAATGTTTTATTAATATTGTATTTTAATCAAATTACATTTAGATTTTTAACTAATTTATAATTATACATGTAGTACTTTATAATTTAACGTTTTATAAATTAATTTAATGGTGTTCATCGTTAATGGTGTTCATCCACGCTCAACGAGCATTGTAAAATTTTTCTTCAATAAATACATGGTATGTGTTATAAAATTTAAGGTAAAGTATATAAATAGTCTCCCAACTATATGATATTATTTTGTTGAGTATTTCACTATTAATAATTACAAAATGATCCATCGATTATAGGACATTGTTTTATTGAGTCCATCAACTATTAAAAATAACAAATTGGTCACTTGACTATTCATATGTTCCAAATTCATCATTTACAGTTAAAAAATTTGGCAACTGTCAAAGTTGGATGTTAACTTGTTGACTAAGATATGACAAAATCTAATCTCATAATCATTTAAGTTGTATTTTATAGATCGACTATATGTTGCATTATATCGTCGAGCTAGTGATTGAAGCATTATAATTAGAGGACAATTTGTATACTTTACCCTAAAATTTAATTATCTTTTATTATCTTACAATAAAAAATAGTAAATTTTCTAATTTTTCAAAAAAATCCTTAAATCCATAAATCACTTCTCTTTCTATTTCACTTTTTATCATGGCTTAAGTATACAAAAGGTGTCCAATCTATGTTCGCTTTTCTAGTTTAGTGTCAAACGTTTATTTCGTTTCAATTTGGTGCCTGACGTTTCATTTTGTTACTCAAAAAGGGTCAAGCCATGGTAAACCATTAGTTTTCTCTGTTAAGTGACACATATCACAATCTCGTAATTTTGAAATTTATTTTTTAAATACTAAAAATATTATTATATTTATTTATTTTAAATTACAAAAAAACCTCAAAATCCTCAAATCCTAACACTAACCCGCCACTACGACCCTTTCCGGCCACGGCCACCACCGCTAACGTAGTCCTTGTCATCATCCTAGTTATAAGTCATCGTAGTTGTCGTCAATTGGCCATCAAAATCGCTTGGGATTGCTATTTTCATTCTAGGGTTCGTGGGGTATAAAACGTTGATTCACCGTTGATCGGTCGTTGATCAGTCACGATTTTATAAGGGTTTTGGTCGTCGGGGAAGTGAGGTTGGGTGGAGTTTCGTCGACGACAAAGGGCGATTTTCAAAGTTTTGGGGTTATTTCGTAATTCATGTGTTTTTTAAATATATATATAATGTTATTTTTTTAATTTTATAAAAAAATTAAAATTATCATATTGTGACATGTCTCACTTAACGGATGAAATTAACGGTACGTCACAACTTGACTTATTTTGAGTAACGAAATGAAACATTAGGCACCAATCTAAAACGAAATAAACGTTATGTACTAAACTGAAAAAACGAACAAAAATTGAGCACCTTTTGTATATTTAAGACTTTTATCATTAAACATCACCTCGTTACCACAATAATGAAGTCTTCTCCTTTCACCATAAAAGTGTTGAAACAATTAATATCAAAAGTGTTTTCTCTCATTTCATTTATATTCACAATTGTACACTGGTCTTTATATACAAAAGAAGTTTAACTAATTAACCAATTAGCAGGGTTTTAAATAGTGTTTGCGGTCACGTTTTCGGTCGCGTCACGTTTATCACGATTGCGGACTTAACGGATGTCATCGCGGTCACTGCAAGTGTCGCGGTCGTGATGTTTTTTTTTTAATTTTGCACAACTTATCTTAAAACATAATAAAATAATTATAATTATAATGAATCATTTTAATGATTTTTAAAATGTTTTCTAAGCGAAATTGACATATATATAATATAGTTTAACAAAGAAAACAAAACAAAAACATAAACAATGTAGATTATTTGATTTTTTAGGCTTTTCTAAGTAGGGTATTTATTTAAAATACAATAGTTCAGAATATTAAAATATAGAATTAAAATGACTAAAATATAATAAAGTAAAACATAAAGATCAAAATAAAATAATAACATTGAGTAGATTATAAATAAAAATAGTGACCAAAATAAAAGAAAATAAAAATATCACAGCTAATTTCAAAGTAAAAAATATAAATGAGTGATTAAAATAAAACTAATGAAACTAGAGCATCATATTCAAAATAATTAAAAAAATAGAGGAAGGGTGACTATTTCATTAAAAAGCGCATAAATGTTAGGGACCTAAAAATGTTTAATCCTAAAACTTCTTAACAAACACTTCAGCAAAACAATAAGGTAAATTATCATGATCAGATCCTATGATCCATAATAAAATTCATAATAGTCAAAACTCAATGACAAAAATATAAATATGCGGCTAAAGATAGGAGACTTAAATGAAATTAATCTAAAAGTAAATTAACATAACCTAAAACAATTCCTCGTGTACTTCATTTATTCTATTTTTCTCCCTCTCCATCTCACGAACGGCGCTCACCACCATGGAGGCTCCAAGCCTCTCGATCGTCGGCCAATGTTATTAACGGTAGATAACGGTAATAGCGTCTTGTTATCGGCGCTATTCACCGTTACCCGTTAGATTGCGTCCGCAATCGATCGATTTTGACGTGAATCCGCTGTCCACTGTTATTTTCTCGGATTTTGATTTTGGACTGCGGCGCTACCGTGAAATAACGGACATTATTGTATTTTTGTCCCGCTATTTTAAACCCTGCCAATTAGCTAACTGAGTACTAACTAACTAACTATTTTTAACACTCCCCTCAAGTTGGTGGTTTAAAATATTTTTAATCCCTAGCTTGTCTGACAAGTAGTGATGTTGCTGAACTCCCAAGGCTTTTGTCATAACGTCTGTAAGTTGTTCTGTTGAAGCTATGTGTTCAGTTCGTATTAACTCATCTTGTATCTTTTCCCTCACAATATTACAATTGATATCTATGTATTTGGTCTTTTATCACATAAGACTATTATTGGTCTTTTATTTTCAACTTCAAATTCAGCCAATAACCTTTTTAACCATATTATCTCAGTCGTTGTTGCTACCAAGCTCGTATATTCTGTTTCAACAGACTATCGAGCAACCGTATTTTACTCCTTTGATTCAATAATCAATAACGGATTTTCAAGACATGGGGCAGGGTGCCCAATCCAAATCACAATACGCCATAAGCTCACGTTCGTTTAAGGCTTTCATCAAAACCCCATGTCTTAGATTATTTTTAATATATCGTACTACCCTGAGAGAAACTTCAAAGTAAGATCTCATCGGATCTTGCGTGAATTGCTTCAAATATTGAATTGCAAAGATGACATTATACCTTGTATGAGTCCGATAAATAAACCTTTCTATCAACCTCTGAAATATTATGTTGTCTTTCATTCTCTTGTCATTGCAGTCTCGTTGTAATGAGTTTTAGGTTTTGCATCAAGGGATGAGCAGTTGGTTTAGCCCCTCCTAATCTCGTGCCTTCAATAAGTACTTCAAGCCTCAAGGGCATATTTCCTTTGATTAATAAATATCCCTTCTGTATACTTCAAAACTTCTAAACCTATGAAATATTTCAATTCTTCTAGGTCCTTCATTTTGAAGCTCTGATTCATCATCGCTTCAAATTCATTGATCAAATTCATGTTAATTCTAGTGATCATCAAGTTATCCACGTATATAAGCATTATTATAAGTTCGTCTTCTTGCTTTTTGAAAAATAGAGAATAATCATATTTACTTTGTAATCATTATTCAACGAAGATTCTGTTAACTTTAAATTCAGGACTTAAAGTCTATATAAGGACTTTTGTAGCCTATAAACCAAATCCTCTCTCTGGTTACAAAAACTTCCAGACATGGGCATATAGACTTTTTCACCAAGATAGCCTTGCAAGAAGGCATTATGAATATCCATTTCGTGTAGAGACCAATGAAAATAACTACAAGAATAAGAATGAAGCGCACAACAGTCAACTTAGCAACCAAAGAGAAAGTATCACCATAATCAACACATTCCCATTGAGTGTAGCCCTTAGCTACAATGCGGGTTTTATATTGTTCAATTGCATTAGATTCCTTTATTTGATGCGACAGACCTATTTACGATAATCAGAGTTTATTTGGAGGTAAAGGAACAACTTTAATTTCATGTATCATTTGATTCTAAAGCTAATATTTCCTACTTCATGACCTGAATTCATAAGGGATTTTTAATAGCTTATAAATATGAACTAGGTTCAATAACGGGGAGATTGAAGACAAAACGTCTTTATGTGATATGGTAAATGAAAATAAGTAATATAACTAGATATATGATACTTCCCTAGAGA